AATCTAGCCTTGATCGTGTCAGAAATGACGCTCCGATGAATCATGCGGATTTGTTCATAACAAACTTCCCGAGATTCAACAGGGTGGATTCAACAGGGTGTGCTAATGACAATGAACAGCGAACAACTACGATTAACAAGACGTCCTTCTTGATACACTTGAGCGTACATCATGATAAGGAATGAAGAATGAACATGCATGGCAAGATGTAGTGCACGTGGAGTCTTCACGATGAGCTATATGCGCTTGCAAAAGTGAGCAACGATACTGGTCAACCATGGTGACTGATACTCAGGCGGATTTATGTTGATCAATCACAGAGAGCGCGCATTAAACCTTAAGCCCCTGTGAGCTCTAAACCCCTGAATGCTACAGCCACCTTTCTCAGGACTGGAGGAGATAAATTCGAAGCCTCTACCAGAATCCCACGCGCTCAATCGCTGCGGTTCGACAACACCACATCCTGCACAGCCCATGTCAGGGAGACCTGGTCAATGATCCGCTCTTCGGTGCTGCAATGGCAGGGCAGGCGGCTGCCAACCCAGCGGAGGCCCTTCGAATAAGAACTTCCTAAAGTGGCGAGTCAGCTTGGACGGTGTTCTATGACCATGATCCATTGATGTTAGTCAATGCTGAGCTGGGCTGACACAGCCAGCAGTTCCTTTACGATGCTGACATAGCCATGTCAGCCAGGTGCCATCCATTCAAATTGTCCTTGCTGTTGTCCATATAAGTAGCGTTGGCATTACTGCAAATACGATTCTGACTACAACTTCAACGTCTCGCTGTCCTTGTGATCTTTGGTCGTGAACTCTGAACGCCAAGCAAGAATCGTGGACCTAATCCTCACATGGCCGTTGACCTACCCTTGAGTAGATGTGTATTATAGTACGATCCCCATATACCCCATATTCTACGTTAAACCCCGATTCGTGCACCAACCCCGATTCAAGCACTACGAGCACCAAGGATTCACGCACTGACGATTCACGCACCACCCGATTCACGCACTAAAAAAGCCCGATTCAAGCACCAAAACGACCCGATTCAAGCACTAAAAGAAGCCGATTCAAGCACCAAAAGGGCTGTGGTTTGGGGTTCAGGGTTGGTCCGGGGCTTAGGGTTTACGGTTTAGGATTTGGGGTTTGGGGTTGGTTTAGGGCTCAGGCCTTCTTACGGTTTAGGGTTTAGTGTTGGGGTTTCAGGGTTCAGGGTTGCTTGAGGCCTTAGGGCTTTCTTGGGATTTAGGGGCCAGGGTTTAGGGTTCAGGGCTGGTTTAGGGCTTAGGGTTTAGGGTTTAGGGCTCAGGTCTAGGGTTTGGGGTAGGGTGTTGGTTTATGGCTCAGGGCTTCTTTAGGGTTCAAGATTTAGGATGCAGGGTTGAGGGCTTAGGGTTTTCTCAGGGGTTAGGCCTCAGGGTTTAAGGTCTAGGGTTCAGGGTTGGTTCAGGCTTAGGGCTTAGGGTTTTCTTAGGGTTCAGGATTTTGGACTTGGGGCTTAGGGCTCGGGGTTTAGGGCTTGCGGTTTAGGGTTTAGGGTTCAGGGTTGGTTTAGGGCTTGGGGTTTACGGTTTACGGTTTGGGGTTTAGGGTTGGTCCGGGTTATAGGGTTTAGAGTTTGGGGTTCGGGCTGTTAGGGTTTAGGTTTGGGATTTATGGTTTAGGGTTCCTGGCTTGGAGTTTGGGGTTTAGGATTTAGGATTTAAGGTTTAGGTTTTTAGGTTCCTTGTACAAGTATGGTAGAGGGCACCAAAAAGAAGCCTCAAGAGGTATAGGTAAGTCTTCAGGCTTGTGCAGTATGTCCGCTTGGTGCGCGAATCAGGTACGCTTGGTGCGCGAATCTGCTCGTTTTGGTGCGCGAATCTCGTGTTAGTGCCGAAGTTTTGGTGCGCGAATCCCGTGTTTCGCATAGTGCGCAAATCCGCTGTTTTGGTGCGCAAATCTGGTTTTTTGGTGCGCGAATCCGTTTCCAACCCATATTCTATCCTAGTCTATTTATGTGAGGGGGGACTATAAACTGAGAGGCTGCTCAGACGGCCCCCGGCCGTTTTCGGCCCTTTGATGGAGGCGGGGCAGCTGTTTGATGGGCCAGGACTACTTGTGAATGTTCGAAGAAAATTAGGGTTTAGGGTTTACTCGGTTTACTTGTTATCATTAGGCTTGTTCGTAAGCGTAGCAATAGACAGCAGCAACAGTTGCTGTAGTATTGCTGCCACCAACACTTACTCATGGATACAGTTTGAAAGCTCGCAGGCGCTTGGTGTTAGGCGGAAAATGAGTTGCATGCAAACTTATGACTGATGTAGTCACAGGGATCGGGGGGGTCGCGGTCGCGAAACGTAGAACTGTCGTCACTTTTGGACTCGTCTCGGGTCTTCGGGTCTCAAAAGTGTCAACAGTCAGAGGGATCGGGGGGGTCCTGGTCGCGAAACGCACAATTGTCGTCACTTCTGGACTCGTCTCGGGTCTTCGCGTCTCAAAAGTGTCAACAGTCATAGGGATCGGGGGGGGGTCGTGGTCGCGAAACGCAGAACTGTCGTCACTTTTGGACTCGTCATACTCGTCTTGCGTCTTCGCGTCTCAAAAGTGTCAACAGTCACTGGGATCGGCTCTGGAGAGAGGAAGGGAG